CGGGCAAAATTTCCCTCATAGCACACTGTATGGCGTATGCCCGTCTTCATTAGCCCAGTTCGGAGGAGAACAGTAGGACGTTAAACTCCATTTCATTTCATTTCATTTCTACTCTTTATTTGACCTTTTTCGAAACGAAATAGGATCTGTGTTTTAAAAAGGTTGAATAGAACCTGTATATTGTTTTCATATGCGCTATGCGAGCACGATTTGTGTGGATTTGGCGCTATGTTAATGGCCATTATATTAGTATCCTCACGTTATGGCCTCAACTGATTAGTAGATAAACTGAGAGAGAGAGAGAGAGAGAGAGAGAGAGAGAGAGAGAGAGAGAGAGAAATGGGGTTTAACGTCCACTCGACACAAACTAGGTCATTTCGGGACTAACATATGGTTCAATTTTATTTCAATAATTCGCTTGCGCGTAGGGGTCTTTAGCAGTGGGAGGAAACCGGAGGACCCGGAGAAAACCCACGAAGTTGGACAGGCTACCCTACTCCTTGTCACGTACAACCGGGGAATCGAAACCACGCCAGTTGATTCAATGACAGTCCTTATGACACAGTGCGCTTGCGCTAACTCTCTCTCTCTGAAAAATGTCAGTCAAATTACTTTTATTATGAGCGACGTTATAAACGTTTGAAGTTTTGATAGTCTAAATTGTGTCTGACGATCGCCGATTGACAGCTCATATTTTCGATTGTCCAGTACTATTACCACAATAATAAACGAAGTAAACCCTATTTCATTTTATTTCTAAAACATTTTTAACTCGGCCTACTTTTATATCGAATTCCAACTGCTAAGGGATCTTTTATGTGCAGGCCCTCCGTCCTGAATCACTGACGAGGGGAAACCACGCTGGAAAATCTGGATGAACTTTTCTAGCCAATGCAGGAATCGAACACCCTACCTCCATGCTAGCGATCCAGCGTCTTACCCACTTAGCCACGTGATCCCCCGTATTCTCTATAATTCTGTTATGTGTTCTTCTCATCCAGTTACTAAATGCTACTTGAACAATGTAAAATTAAATTGTTAGCTTGTGTGATCATAGAAGATTATGGTCGAGACATTATTTTCATGATGGTGTCGGTTCGTTTTGACATTGACCATAATCTCAAGAAAGGTCAAACATACTGCCCTAGACAAGACTCGAGGTCAACTTTATTTCAATTATGTGAAATGAAGTGAAATGGGGTTTAAATTCCTTCTTTTCTGAGCCTACTGGCTTTTGTAGTGTGCTGTGAGAAATTTTGCCTCGACAGAGACGCTACGGGCTACTCATATTTCGAATTCCAATTATCATGGGAATATCGCCCCATCCTGCGCCTTCGTCCTGCGCCACTGGCACATTGAAGCCACTCCGGAAAATCCCTAGGAACGTTCTCGCTGGGGCAAACCCGAGAACCCTAGGATAGCAAGCCAGGGTCTTACACAATTACAGCTATATATTTTTTTTTTAAAACAACACTTTCATGAGAATAGTGTCACGGTCCTGATCCGAAATAAAATGAAATGGGGTTTAACGTCCTGCTGTTCTGCTCCGAACTGGGCTTATGAAGACTGGGCATACGCCATATAGTGTGCTATGAGGGAAATTTTGCCCGGGCAGCGGTGCTACGGCCTACTTTTATATCGAATTCCAACTGTCAAGGGATCTTATTACGTGCACGCCAATGTGTACACGGGACCTCGGTTTTTCGTCCCATCCGGACGACTAGACAGCTGTCGTGATCCTATTACTTCATAATAAAATATGACGTCAAACGGGGTGCTGGATTTCTCTCTTTAAAAAGTTCAGTGTGTATGTATGCCTACGTACTTTGGAAACGATGGTGGCATCATGCATTGTCAATTGTCAAACTTTATTAACAGAAACCTGGCAAACCCCCTCCTCCAAGATTTCCTGGAGCCGCCCCTGTAAACTTCAATTCCCGTTCAGTGGTGAAATGATAACTTCTAACATTTAGATGGCCAATAATGTACATCCCTCTATCTAGACTCTATCCCCCATTGAGTCAAACGGTGTGGTTTCGATTCCCCACGTGTACGTGACAAGGAGTAGAGTCACCTGTCCAATATCGTGGGTGTTCATCACTGCTGAAGATCGCTACGCACACGATATTTATTGAAATAAAATTGAACCACATGTTAGTTCAGAAATGACCTAGTTTCACTCGATCCCACACATGTACGTGACAAAGAGTAGGGTGTCTAACAAACCTTCTGCGTTTTCTCACGCGAATGATTGACATTAAATTGTACCAACCATACGTAGGGTCGCCTGTCCATCCTCGTGGGTTTTCTCCGGGTCATCCGGATTCCTCCCACCGCTAAAAAAAACCTCCCCCATATGTTAGTCCCGAAATGAGCTACTTTGTGTCGATTGGAAGTTTACCCCCCCCCCTCTCTCTCTCCCTCTCTCTCTCTCTGATGAGCAGTTAAATGATAACGATAACTTCTGACATTTTGATGGCTAATGGTGTCAGTACCTCATTGAAATATATCTATAATGTAGGTATAACCAACTCGACCGGAAGAAGTTATAATATAAACTCTGCGCATGACTGGTTATTGTGAACTGATGGGGTAATGTAAACCATCCAATCGTACCAATCAGGTAATGGACGAACAAATTACAACCAAACGTGTCTGACGCCAATAACTACGGCCAAAATGTCAAACTGACTCATGGATTCCAAGAGAGCAAGTCGATACAGAGAAAAACCGCATATGAATAAGTACAGCGCATGCGTTTTTAATCACGACAATGGATCGAATGGATGACGTTTCGTCCAGAGAGGTCTTAAACCTAAACCCTAACCGTAACCAGAGAGCTCCCACTGGTACCAATTAGAATCTGTTTCACTTCTGTGGTCGAACATAAATGAAATGAAATGGGGTTTGACGTCCCACTTTTCGGCTTCATCCGGGCAAATGGAGAAGGGCGTACGACATGCAGTCTGCAACGAGGGAAATACTGTCCGGACAGCCGCGCTACGACCTGAATTCCAACTGTCAAGAGTGTTCACGAAACATCGGGTTTTCGTCCCATCCGAACTACTAGTCGCTGTTCATTGCCAGGTCCGAGGAGATAAAATCAATACCAAAGCCTCGTTCTTTTTTACATTATCGACTTGTGTTGATATTTTTTATATCAAAAAAGGAGATTCTCTAGCTCGTACTCGTCCCTTTTGATTGGATGTACCGAGAGTAAAACACGAGAAAGTGTGTGACAAAGTGATCTATACCTTTCATCAAATTGAACGATCATTTAGATGCATAGAACTTTATGACCCTTGCTAGTTTTGATAATATATGATATTGACGTTCCACCTCTGTATAAACTTCTGTTAAGGCACGGACTAATTAATTCAATATGTCCTTTACAAGCTACACATGATCGGTGTATAACTCTCCACAGAACTTTATGACTTCAAAGAAAATACGCAGTGCAGTTACAGATACCATAATCTGATAAATAAACAATACCATATATGGTGATCACTTTTGTCCATCTTCCCTAATTGTTGGACGCTATATAAGCAGGTGTTTACTGACAGTAAGTCAGACTTGGAATAGAGCTCCTCCCGATTTATGTTTATTCCATATTCTTAATAAAGGTCTTATCATTATGCTGATCTTCTGTTATCTGTAGTGTTACAAGTGTCCTGTGTACGACACTCGCTACTACTAATAGAAATGGAGTGCTGCCAGGAAAATGTTTCCGACATCAGTTCCAACACCTCTAAGATTACCCTTCTCTCTCAGCAGAAAGTTCTAGCGGATTGTTTCGTGTGTGCGGTATATTAAAAAAAATATTCACAACCAATGGGTTTCAAAGCAAGACAAGGAAGATATTATTCATAACCACCGTGTTTACGAATAAAGATTACCTCGTAAATACTGTAATTACCAATCACGATTACCTCGTAAACGCTTGAGACATTGATGATCTAATTCTAAACCTGGCACAATGAAAGTACCAAGCGCACCTTGTGCTTGTTTATTATACCGGGTGTCCCAATAAAAGGTTGCCCTAAACCTAACCCAAATACAAATTATGGCATTTAGTTAATGAACTGGGCCCTTTTTCACTAAAACTTAAACTAAGATACATTCGAAATTTTAAGAAAAACTGCAATTCGATTGGCTGACCAATATGCAAATTGGATATATGCAAATTGATTTTACTGATCAGCCAATCGAATTGCAGTATTTCTTAAAATTTCGATTGTATCTTAGTTTAAGTTTTCGTGAATAAGGGCCCTGAAAATACATAGGTCACAATTCTACGGTTTATTATTAAGCGACGTTTTGACTAGGCTTCCCTGGTCTTTATCAAATACATAAGTCAAAATTCTGTGGAATACAATTACTGCTTATTACTGAGCGATGGTTCGAATAGGCTTCTCTTGGAACCACGGTGGCTCAGTGAGTAAGACCTTGGCTCTCTAACCTGTGTTCGATCCAAGCTTTGGCCGTAAAAAGTTCATTTGGATACTTCGACATGGTCTCTCCTTGTGAGTAGTGCAGGATCGAGGATCTGGCAAGGGACAACGTATAGTCGTTCGGATGGGACGAAAAACCTAGTTCCCGCGTGCACATTGGGCGTGCACTGGCTGTTGGAATTCGATATAAGAGCAGGCCGTACCGCTGCTACCGGGAAAACATTCCCTTCATAGCACACCGCATGGCTATGGGGTTTAACGTCCACTTGACACAAACTATGTCATTTCGGGATTAACATATGGTTCAATTTTATTTCTATAGTTCGCTTGCGCGTAGGGGTCTTTAGCAGTTGGAGGAAACTGGAGGACCCCGAGAAACCACATGACGTTGGACAGGCGACCCTACTCCTTGTCACGTACAACCGGGGAACCGAAACCACGCCAGTTGACTCAATGACAGACCACCCGAACTCCCCTTTGTATTCTATAGAATTGTGACCTATGTATATTAATACATATAAGATAAAATATCGATGTATAACTTACTTGACTGCCTTTACTGCGGATATTCCACACGTTATTAGTAACATAAAGCCCAATATGGCGATAATGACAATCCACGCTATAGTTTCGCCATCCATATTCCCAAATCTCATGTAACACTTTTTAATAAGGTATCAAAATTAGAAAGTTCATATTTCAATCTTAAAGAAATCCTTTCTTCAAACATGTTGTTGTCCGTCTCAGCACGTTATCCAAACATCCGATTCACCCTGTATTCAATTCCAATATTCCCATTTAAAGACACAGACACACGAGTCGAATTCATTTTATATTTTAATGCCGAGGAAAACTAGAAAAACTGAATCCAGTCAAATATCATGTAAGAATAATTTAATATTTTGCATGATGGTTAATTAGAACTAGAAATACCGTTCCAGTCAGATATCATGAACTTTATGTAAGAATGATTTAATATGTTGCTCTGTCCTCAGAGTTCCAAAAACCGAATCCAGTAAGAGACCAGGAACTTTGTATAACGATAATTTAACATCTTCCACGATCCTTGACGAGAAATAGAATAATCGAATCCAGTCAGATATCATGAACTTTGTGTAACGGTAATTTAATATCTTGCACGATCCTCTATAAGAATTAGAAATACCGAATCCAGTCAGATACCATGAATTTCAATTACCGCTAATTCAATATCCTGTTTGATCATCGATGAGAATTCTGGGCCATGTATGCAAGAAACACCTCAATCACACAATATTTAAAATAGGAATGCTTTTTAAATCTCTTTCGATTTTCTGTCAATATTTAGTTTCTTTTGAAGTCACAGGAAAGCGAATATACGAATAGTTCATGTAAATGCGCTTTTAAATCTGTTTCGATTTTCGATGCGATCCCGACAACTAGACTCGTATATTAAAAAAAACACCCACGTTAATCATAATTTAATATTTTGCGGAAGAATTTCACTTTTTCCAGATTCGATTATTGACTTATAACATTTCATCGGTAATCCAGATTTCTTAGCAAAGAATGAAAGGATGAGGTTGTGCCATTATTGCAAGTATCGGAGCAATCTGTGTTTAATTTTATATTTAATTTACAATATCCAATGACTTATACTGTTATTAATCCAGCTGTTTGTCCAATCATATATATGACTAATGATATTGCTGACCACTCACGCCTAATAACTTCTACCATTTATCAAGCTGTTTGTCCACTGTATGACGTATGCCTGTCTTCATTAGCCCAGTCGGAGCAGAACAGTAGGACGTTAAACCCCATTTCATTTCATTTATCAAGATGGCTGTCCAATTTACATCTTTGGATATTGTTAACCAAACAATATGACAGACAAAAACTGCATGAAATCCTTCTAATCCTTTAAAATCCTTAACAATCTTCAGACTATTGCTTGACCACTTCGGTCCAAACACAGTTACACACAAAAACACACTGAAATCTTGTCCAACCTTCCAAAATCTTCAACAATATTCCGACTAATGCTTTTTGCTGAACACTCACAACCGAACAATGTTAAAACCTGACTAAAAACCCGTCTAATCCTCCAAAATCTTCAAAAAATTTCCGTCTACATTTCTTCGCTCTTACTCACTATATATTCTTACAATATGAGAAATAAGATCTGGCCTTTTGTTAATAACAAAACTTCAAACTGGTCTGATTGATTTTTTTTTCAACAGCTTGTCAGGTTGTAGGCTATTGACGGCTTGTTGCAACTTGATTCAGTCTCGGGGCCACATCTGAAAGTAAAATAGAACAATTTAATATATTGGTCATAGCGTGACAGTTGTATATAAAATGTATTTTGTTCATGGTATACATGATTATATTGTTGTAATTAAAATCGACCTTTGATGGTGCGTTCAGTGACCTTGTAAAACATTCAACAGAGAGAGAGAGAGAGAGAGAGAGGGGCGTTGGCCGAGAAAGTTCCTCGGGATTTTCCGGTGCGGTTTTCCCTTTTCAATGGTGCAGGAGGGGGGGGGGCCTAGCAGGAACAGTGTCTAGTCTTTCGGTGGTACAAAAAAACGAGGTGTGCACGTAAAAGAACCCTTAACAGATGGAATTCGAAATAAGAGCAGACCGTAGTGCCGCTGTCCGAGCCAAATTCCCCTAATAGCCGACTGTATGGCATATGCTGGTTCGATGCGAACGACCAGACGCTGATTCTACACTACTTAAAACGGAGATACAACGCTGATTATTTAATTAAAACACTCAAACAAAAATCAACTGTAGGTAATATCTGTCGGATTGGATTAAACGGAGACTCATCAATAGGCTATCCAACAGTTTGCTTGTTGATTTAAACATACATTATGCAAGAGCTAAATCTGCCTATTGTAGGCCTTTCTTTAGGCCTTAAACGTTATCTAAATTATTAATTAGACATTAATTAACTTATCCAGACCATAATCCACTTTCGCTGCCATCGTTAGCTTGCGATATTTAGAGGATTTGAATACGTTTTATGATAGATGATTTAACGTAAAACTGGATAATTGAGACTTTGTTTAACATCGTACCAACAATAGTAATGCCGATCGAGGATGGTCTTAAATTGAATCCCTTATATCTCAGTTCAGAATGAAGCAATTTGACTGAAATTTTCAGCATATTCTGTTTTCATTATCTATTTTTAACTATTATAGCGAGAACTGCCAGCTCTTTATTTAATCTTATGTAATGCTCCTTTAAGCTTAAGGCCTGCTTCCACGGTATTTTTTATGTATTTTGTAACTATTATATCGAGAACTGCCAACTCTTTATTTAATCTTATGTAATGCTCCTTTAAGCTTAAGGCCTGCTTCCACGGTATTTTTTATGTATTTTTTAACTATTATATCGAGAACTGCCAACTCTTTATTTAATCTTATGTAATGCTCCTTTAAGCTTAAGGCCTGCTTCCACGGTATTTTTTATGTATTTTGTAACTATTATATCGAGAACTGCCAGCTCTTTATTTAATCTTATGTAATGCTCCTTTAAGCTTAAGGCCTGCTTCCACGGTATTTTTTATGTATTTTTTAAATATTATATCGAGAACTGCCAGCTCTTTATTTAATCTTATGTAATGCTCCTTTAAGCTTAAGGCCTGCTTCCACGGTATTTTTTATGTATTTTTTAACTATTATATCGAGAACTGCCAACTCTTTATTTAATCTTATGTAATGCTCCTTTAAGCTTAAGGCCTGCTTCCACGGTATTTTTTATGTATTTTGTAACTATTATATCGAGAACTGCCAGCTCTTTATTTAATCTTATGTAATGCTCCTTTAAGCTTAAGGCCTGCTTCCACGGTATTTTTTATGTATTTTTTAAATATTATATCGAGAACTGCCAGCTCTTTATTTAATCTTATGTAATGCTCCTTTAAGCTTAAGGCCTGCTTCCACGGTATTTTTTATGTATTTTTTAACTATTATATCGAGAACTGCCAGCTCTTTATTTAATCTTATGTAATGCTCCTTTAAGCTTAAGGCCTGCTTCCACGGTATTTTTTATGTATTTTTTAACTATTATATCGAGAACTGCCAACTCTTTATCTAATTTTATGTAATGCTCCTTTAAGCTTAAGGCCTGCTTCCACGGTATTTTTTATGTAATGCTCCTTTAAGCTTAAAGGGACAAGCTCCAGAAAATAAATAATATCTCTATCTAAGTACTAGACGTTTAAGTGTCCTATCTGTTGTGTAAATTATCCATTACATCCTATTTTACTTGTCCAGAGGGTTCGAAAATATTTTTAAATCGAAGTTTCATTTGAATAGGTTTACGTTAGACGTTTCAAACCATTATGTTGAATTTTTCAAAATTTTTAAATAAGGTGTGTTAAGATGAAATTTGTATCATCAATTAATTGAAATATTCTAAAATAGTACAATTTGTTGACCAGAATAAAGATTGGGACATATTATTCAGTTACAACAAGAGTGGTATTGAGCCTTTAAGGCCCGCTTCCACGGTAGAGATATTGCAGGTAGTTATCTGTGTACAGAGTGTCCTGTCGGGTGTCCATTGCCCTGGCAGCCCAACCACCATCCACCGCCCATGTTGTTTTGTTTTTTTGTGTTCCGTTGGAAAAAGTTCGTCTTTTTAATCATGGAGAAAGGTTGATTTCAGAAAACAGACGAAACAGACAAGGTGTTAATATCGCAATAACATCTAAAATCTTAGTCATAGATACCCAATAACCGACGCCAGTCACGCAATTTCAACGTTAGGATGAATTTCCTGGAAGCTAATCATCACGCACAGTTGCTTTAATGTAAAGAAATGAAACCGTCCTACTGCTCTGCTCGAACTGGGCTAATGAGACGGGCGTACGTCATACAGTGTACTATGAGGCAAATTTTGCCCAGACAGCGGCTGTGGCACTATGGGGACAGATGTGACATTATCGTCCAAAGACTTTCTTCGACTTCACGTTGTGGGATCAATTATTTCAATCATCAATTAACTGACTTTGGAACACCGTTTATGTTGTTTATATAATTAAACAAAGACAGCAAACACGCCCCTTTGCAATGCGTTAAATAAGCAATGTTGCTTAATTAACGCTTATTCTGTCATATGCAATAAATACAATAGAATATCAATACTTAAAAGCTCTAAATAACCCATTAAAATTCCAAGTCCTAATTCTAAAATATCATTACACTGATAAACATGCTACAATATAAGTTCACTGATTCACTGTCAATATAAATACTCGGTTATACGTTCCAACACAATAAAATAAACACTGTTCCAATGTCAATAAGTTCACTGTTTCTAACACTACATAATTTCAAATCCTGTTCAGAATTGTTGTTCTGTAAATTTTGGTGATCCGTTAACACTTCTTTCATTTCCTCTTTAGAACCATATTTGCTTATATGCCGGAATTCCTCTGTCTGGTTCGGCGTTGCTGTGGGTTAAGATAAGGTACCTTACTTCCCGTAATTGATCCGTGTACTTGCTTAAATCAGAACAATATAAATTCAGTTTCTTCACCCTTAATTTATAACATTTATTTTAATCATAATCCAATTAAGTTTATTTAAAATTAAAATTGTATTTACTTTATTAGGAACCCAGCTGTATTAATCCTTAATTCTATTTACTTTTAACTGAATAAACTATTGACAATAGAACTTAATCTGTCCCATTAATAAAAATTAGCATTATTAATTAGTACTTATCACCTACAGTAATTAATAAATTAACCAGCGGCTGCCAGGCAGGATACGCCCACATTTTGCAAGAGATGGATAGAGAACAAGCTAAAAACAAACAGAACTTTTTGTAGAATCAGGAGCAATAATCTAGAAAGTGCGGCCATTTTTCGGGCAGTTTCATTTCTGTTTTCCCGAAATTCGAAATCAACCGTCATTATGGTGGAATGATGATATATTTAAACGGTTTTTAAAATCGGAAAAAAGAATTGTGACCTCTAGAGAATCTGCATGTTAAAAACGCAATTTTTCGAACAATCAGGAGCCATAATCCAGGAAGTTACGTTCGGATATACGCGATTATCAAAAGGAACCAGATCTCAGTGTGTAATGGTGATATATTCACAAGTTTTTTTTTTAATCAGATAAAAATTGTGACCTCTACAGGGACCGCAAGCTAAGAACGTGACTTTTTGTATATTCAAGGTCCATAATTCAGGAAGATACAATCCGATACGCGCGAATATCGAAAGGAACCAAGATCGTTGGGTTATAAACATGTATTTCAACTTTCATCAAAATCGAATCAAAATTGTGACCACTAGAGGGTCCACAACCTTGATTTACCAGATGTTTACACTATTTGCATACGAGGGGCGGCCATTTTGTCCAGCAGTTTTGGCCCGATTTTCACGAAATTCCAAGGCAACAAACATTACTGTGAAACGGTGATATATTCGAACGTTTTATTAAATGGAATAATAATTGTGACCTCTAGAGGCACCATAAGCTAAAAATGCGATTTTTTGTACAACCAGAGGCCATAATTCAGGAAGTTACAATTCGATATGCGCGAATATTGACAGGAACCGAGATCTTTGGGTTATAAACTTGCATTTCAAGTTTCATCAAAATCGGATCAAAATTGTGGCCACTAGAGGGTCCACGACTTTGATATACCAGATGTTTACGTACTAGGGGCGGCCATTTTGTGTGACAAAATTACGGTGTAACGAGAGAGAGAGAGAGAAAAAGGGTTTAACGTCCACTCGACACAAACTAGGTCATTTCGGGACTAACATGGTTTGATTTTATTTCAATAATTCGTTTGCGCGTAGGGGTCTTTAGCAGTGGGAGGAAACCGGAGGACCCGGAGAAAACCCACGAGGTTGGACAGGCGACCCTACTCCTTGCCACGTACAACCGGGGATTCGAAACCAAGCCAGTTGACTCAATGACAGGCTTTATGACACAGCGCGCGCACGCTAACCATCCCCCCCCCCCGTTACGGTGTAACAGTGATATATCCGAACATTTTTGTAAATTGGATAATAATTGTGACCTCTAGAGGGACCACAAGCTAAAAACGTGATTTTTCGTACCACCAGGGGCCATCATTCGTGAATGATTAAGGGGCCATGGTGGCTTAGTGGTGGGTATGACGTTGGCTAGCTAGCCTGGAGGTCGGGTGTTCGACCTCTGCATTGGCCGAGAAAGTATATCGGGGTTTTCCGGCGTGGTTTCCAGGATAGAGGGCCTGACAAGGACAGCTGTCTAGTCGTTCGGATGGGACGAAAAACCGA